GTGTGTATACCATAGTGCATATGTGGCATTCAGAGGACAACTTGTGGGAGTCTATTCTCTCCTTCTACCTTCCGGGTCCCAGGAATCAAACTCAGGTTATTAGACTTGGCAGTAAGTGCCTTTACCTGCATTCACCACGTAGGCCTGGCAATCTGAGTTGGATCCTCAGAGTCCATGTAAAGGTAGAAGAGAAGTGACTTTGCAAAGTTGTCCTCTGACCTCCACATATGCACCCACATTGGAGCACACACAATATAATAAAAGAAAACAATGCAGAGCTGTGGCTGGGATCACAATGCACAAATGTTCCACGCACATGTATAGTTTTGCAGATCTTTTACCCACTAAATCACCCAAACATTAGAAGCTTTAAAATGAGTTTTAAGCAGCTGGAGAATATTCCCAAGGCGTCGCTCGTACAGGGTCTCTGCAGTATGACGCTTGTGATCATGCCTGGACTCCTGGCCTGGCCTCAGCTCTGCGTATTTTTCAAGACAGGCGTGAAAGAAGCTGTTATAGGTTGGAAGGGTGTAAATGTAAATACTCTAGACCCAAATACACAAAGCACCTTCTGGAAGACTTGAGGTTCTGTTTCTCAGTTAGTGACCTCACCCCCTACCTTGGGGGGGGACATATTCTGCTGAGCTAGGATAAAGCTCAGCAACTCCAACCTTATAGGCTTCTTAGGTAAATCATGGTGTCTCTGCCACGCAGAGAATGGCTTGGTAACGAGGCAGCTCCCGAGGTCCAGAGCTCCCTGGCCGGCTTTACTGAGCAACTCTATCAAGCCTTCAAGCAGCCCAGAGATAAGCTCTGGTGACAGCAGGCAGGAGAGCAGAGCTGCACCTCCCCACCTATTCAGCCCAGTGGCTCTGGGAAGGAGGTCAGGCTAGGGAGGAAAGCTCTAAAGTATACCTTCTTGGGGGTTCCCTAGGGCTGAATGGGCAGAAATGTGGGAAGTGGGGGCAGAGATATAGTTCGCTCTACAAATGACTATACCTGGATGGACAGCCAGGAATGCAGAGGGGACTTGGCTGGAGCTCTCCAACCAGCTCAGGTCCCTGTTCAGCTATGTGAAAAATGCAGAGCCTGGAAAGCCCTGGGTAGATAGTGTCTGGAATGTAAACATTTCCCAGGAAAAGGAGGGCAAGGGAATGGACAGACTGCAAGGGGCAAGCTCCCCCAGGGGCTAGCTAACCCTCACCAGCCCCAGGTTGCCCAGGCCTCAGAAGTCAGCTGCCAGAAGCCTGGGGAGAGGCTGGAGAAGTAGCAGCATTTCCCCCATCACCACAGTGGCAGCTTAGGGAAAACCTCTGGAATGTGGAATGTGGAGGACTCTGGGTAAAATGTCTTCAGGAGCTTGGGGCCCAAGAGGAGGCCCCACGCTTTGAGCTCCAGGACAGCATACATGAGCCACCTATAGCTACTGATCACTTGCAATATGCCAACTGCTGCACCAAGGAGCTGACTTTATTTCTTAATTTTTTTTGGCGGGGGGGGGGGGGGGGGGATGCCACAGCTGTAGTCCCAGCTGGCATGGAACTCACTATGTAGATCAGGCTGGTCACAATCTTAACCAGCCTCTGCCTCCCAAGTGCTGGGAAGAAGCTGATTTTTAAAGTTTCCTTTATTTTAAAATATATTTTAATATTTTTATTTTATGTGTATTAATGTATTTCCTCCATGTATGCAAGGGCACCCATGTCATGCAATGCCTGTGGAGGTCAGAAGAGGGCGTTGGATCCCTTGGAACTGGAGTTACAGATGGTTTGTTAGCTTCCATCTGGGTGCTAAGAACCAAATTCAGGTCCTTTGCAAGAGCAGCCAGGGCTCTTAACCATTGAGCCATCTCTCCAGCCTCGTTTCCTTTATTTTAGTCAATTTAAAATGTATGAACGGACATTCAGAGTGCACATAAAGGCATACACCTGTAATCCCAGCACTCAGGGGAAGCAAAGGCAGGAGGATTAGGAGTTCAAGGCCAGCCTCACCTACATAGTAAATGACAGGCAAGTCTGGGCTACAGGAGACCCAGTCTTAAACAACAACAACAACAATAACAACAACAAACCCAGAAAAAGAAAGATTGGATGTTCGGTTGGCCGACATGGAAATGTTTCAAGCATGATTATTAAGACAACTCAAGTTCCAAAAAGACAGGACTCAAGCAGGCCAACTTCTGACCCATCTTTCAACTATAAATCTCCCAAACTTTAAACAGAGTCAAGTATTTTGAAAGAATTTATGTTACAACTGAGATGTGTTATAAAGTGCAAAATATACCAAAGTTCAGAGACTTGGCATTAAAGAAAAAAGAAAGGAAACAGAGAGGTGTGGTGGCACAGGCCTGTAATCCCAGCACTCAAGAGTCTGAGGCAGGAGGATGGAACCAAGTTTGAGGCTAGCCTGGGCTAAACTGCAAGACTTTGCCTCCCCTAATACATACACAAAAGAGAAGAAGTCAAAACATCTCATTAGTTATTGTACGGATAGCATGTAAAGATAATATTTTGGCTATATTAAAAATAATATATTCAAGTTAATTCAAATTTTAAAAACATTTTATAATGCTAGAACATTTAAAATTATACACGTCTCCCATTATAGTCCTACGGACCAACTCATTTAAGACACACTAAACCTTGGTCAAAGAAAAACAGGCTTGCAGCTTTTTGTTACATTCTAAGGCCACATGTGATCCCATCAGCTCACAAGCAGTTCTAACATCCTGAGTCCATCCTGCTTGAGGTTGGGCACCATCCTCTACTTATTCCTCATTTCCTTCAGGGTCTGGAGGACACTGTGGCCATTCCTTCCTGCTATCTCCTCCCTTTCCTTCCAAAGGCCACCCAGTCAGGCCTGCTAAGTAAGCATCACCAGGATGACACCCATGTCTGCCCTGAGTACAGTGCCCTTGGACTGAACATGAGGCGTCTCTGGGAGCCAGTGAAGGGGAAGGGTGCTCACCCAGCGCACAGGCACCTGTCCCCAGGCCAGCTTCCTGCTAAGGCTCTCTTATTCCTACTACGTCCTGTCTTTCTATTGCATCCCCCAGGCATCTTCTTCAGCTATTGACCCCAAGGGACCAAGGCTCCCTCAAGAGCAAAATAAGGGGCATAAGCTCCATAGGACTCTCCCTGGACAGGGCCCAAGCAAGTGGGTTCAGCTGTAAATAGTGTGAGCTCCCAGGAGATCCTCCTGGTTAGTGAGCGTAAATTAAGACCCACAAATTGCCAGATGGATGAGGCGATTTAACAGAGAGGCAAAGCCAGGCCTGAGGGAAAGGAACCTGATGGGTAGGGGATGTGAGGAGCCCAAAGCACTTACCTTGGACAGGGAGGAGTTCGAAATCCAGGGTATATCCTAGGGAAACCAGGTAAGGGAAGGAACCCCAGCCCCACCCAGACATCATGAACCTCAGTGCCCTGACCACACCCTGATTATTGTTCCCTGGTATCTAACACTCTTTTAGCCTTTCAAGCCTTGGCCTCCACTGGAGCATAAGTTCTGCATGGATGGTGATCTCCAAACCTTGTTTAAGTTGCTGGGAAGAGGAGTGTAGATAGCTTTTCTCAAAGAAGGCACCCACAGGGCACAGCAACCCTGAGCCACCCCTGCAGTCAAGAGCGTGTGGGACAGAAGGCACAACTTCTAGGGTTCGAGGGTGTGGCATTCTCAGACCCTAGAGAACTCTAGCTCACGATCAAACTAGGAAATGGCTCAAAACTTGGCAGTTCTGGGGCTACCCTCCCCTCTTTTCCCCAGCCCTACCCCATCCTGCTACCTGGGCTCAGGTGATCTCTGCCAAGGGAGGAAAGAACAATGAGCTCTTTTGACAGGGAGTAGGGAAAGAAGAGAGCAGAGATCCACAGGGGCCAGCAAACTGCAACATTACCTGGTGTGGGAGAGAAAGGCCCCTGTACCTCACACAGGCTCCAGTAAGTCTCTGTAAGGTTGTGAGACACAGGGGCACCCTTCAATCTGCCTTCAGCCAGGGAGGACTCTCCTCTAAGCACAAGGCCTTGGGGAACCTGTAGTACCTGTCAGGGGCTGGGAAGGGGGTATGGCTGGGACCAGAGCCCCAGGAGGCTGCCCAGGGCCACAAGGGGTACCACCCACCTGGATGGGTGGCTCTGCCAGATACTGGGTGTGGTAAGCTCAGATTCCAGGCTCAAGCAACCTGGCCCTCCCTGTGTGGCTTCACCTGACACTGGGGCCCATTTAGGCAAAAACCAAGACAAAACAAAGTAGCCCTGGGCTGAGGCAGTTGGTCAGGAACACGCTGTTTATTCTGGGTATGGGGTGTGGGGAGGTGGGCCTGGCAGGAAGGGCCTACAGCTCAGGGCAGGCACCTAGGCCTGCTCACACCTAGGTGTGGCTATTGGCATGGGCCTTGGTTTCACCAGGGGAGCAAGCAGTCCTCAAAAGATGTTTCAGGGAAAGAGTTTCACTTTGGAAAGTCATTTCCTCTGCTTAGCTGGTCCTCAGTGGCTCAGTCCAGCATCTGGCTGGCTTATCTATCTCCCTGATGGGCTTGAGGACACGCCACATAAATGACCACAGGTAAAGGAACTGAGGTGAAGTTACCACCTTCAGGCCACAGAGCCAGTTAGCAGATGGGACAGAACAGTTCTCTGGCAGATGCCCTAGGGGATATGCTCAGGTTGTTAAGCCCTGGAGGCTTCAGTTTCCTTTTCTGTGGAGTGGGGACAACACCCAGGTGTGAGTCTTTCTGAGGACCAGGAGATGAGGACAATCCACGGTATGATGCTGCCCAAAAGAAGCAACTGAACTCACTCAGCATGCCAGGCTCTGTGGGAACTGTAGCAATGTCCACTGCACAGACCAGGAAACTGGGGATCAGAGAGGCTAAGCAATGTCTCCATAGTTACACAGTGAGAAGACAGCTGAGCTAGGACCGAGGTCCAAGCCGCTAGACTCTAAGTTCCCACCCCTAACCACTGTAACACTCAGTCCTGATGCCTGGCACCCAGCTCTTGTTGACCTGGACCTGTTCCCTTGGAAGTCAGCCCTTTCCTCTAGTAATGGTCACAATCCCTGCTGAGGTACATGTGGCCCTCAAGGCCCTCAAGCAATGTCCCTGCCCTGTGAGGCATCTTGCTGGCATACCTGTAAAAGAAGGTTTGTCTAGAAGAGGCTGGAGGGAAAGGTCCAGAACTGGTTTAGAAGCTAGTTATCTATGAGTTGTTTGGGGGTGAAGCTGGTGATGGCCCACTGTTCCACTGTCCCCTCTCCGTCCCCCAAATACAATGCCCTGTAGTCTGGCCTTCAAGATGGAGCTCTGAGAAGTGATGACCAGAGTCCCCAAGCACAGACTCTCTGCAGGGGCTGACCCTTACCTATGTATGAGGAATTCCTGTGTCTAGCCTACCCACTCAGGGTCCAGCTTGGTACATGCACTGTCAGCTGGACCCTCTCTCACCAGAAGGGGCCTCCCAAATTCAACTTTGGGTGGGCCAGTGCTAGTAACACCTGTAGAGCCGGGTCACACAACACTGTGGCCACTAGCCATGTACATGTGTGTATAGCTCTTCAGTTTATGCTGGAGCTGTTTAATCCTCACCCAACCTATGGGCTAGTTTCTAATATCTCCATTCTAGAGGTGAGTCATGTGCTACAGCCACACAGGTGATCAGGTGCTGGGGTCAGCTCTTACCATAGATGCCTCTTCATGAACAGAGGTTTCTGCCTTCCCATCCTGTCTTAATGAAAGTGATTAAAATGGAACAGTTCCCTAAATGTGCCCCTTACTGTTCTTGGGCCCTCCCCTTCCAGAACTGTCACCACTAATGACCCGGGCCAGAGACCCCACAGTCGTCCTGGTACCCACCTTCCCTTATCCATCTGTCTCCTCTCTCCCACACTGTATCTATCAGCAGGTCTCAGCAATTGGAAGTCATAAATAATTCCCTGTCCCAGTCATTCTCAACCAGGAGCAAGTGTAACTCCCAGGTGACATTTGGCAATGTGTGCAGACATTCTGCATGGACACACCTGGGCAGGAGCATGACTAGCATCTAGTTAGAACTAGGGATGCTGCCAAACACCCTACAATGCCCAGGACAGTCCCCTTGGCACAGCTGGTCCCAGAGGTCACCAGTGCATAGGCTGAAAAACCCTGCTCAGGTCATCCTCTAGACTTAGAGGAAGGGTAACAGGAGTTAGTGTTTAAACTGTCAATGAAACACTCACTACCCTAAGAAAAATCTAGCCAGGCTCCCAGAGAAAATAGCCTTTCCTGAGCCTCACAGGCCCAAAAGCCTCAGGGAAGGGCTGTTATGGGTAGGACTCGGGGGTTCCAAACCCTCCACGACCTGACTGAACCCTCAAATCCCACCTTTCTGGCTCCACAATACCCCCATTACCTAGAGAAAACTCTGTGGCTTCTCCCTCCTTTCTACTCCATAGACAGGTAATTTCAGGTCATCCATCCCATCTTCCCTAAGTTCTGAAGGCCTCATCACCCAGATCTTACAGCCGCAAGCCTTGGGCTGTATATAGAACAGGTCAGGGTTGAACAGGAAGAGGAAGGTCAAGAAGCAGGAAGAATTCCAGGGCCTCCCCTCCTCTTGTCAGACCTAGGGGGTGGAGTGGCCACATTTGGGGACCACCAGTAAGGAACAGCAGGTGTGTGTGTGTGGGAGATTCTCCACTGTAGCCCCGCCCTGGCCTTACCCACTGCACAGAGGAACTTGGGGCCGGGGTTCATCCCTCTGCTGAGCCTGTCTGTCTGGTTTCTGCTGGAATTGGTCACCTTTTTCTGAGTGAGAGATCCTAGCATCACCTAGGATAATGGTGGCACCTGGGGCCATTTGAGCCAGCTAGTGGATACTGAAGTTCTGAGACTCACATCCGGGACCCATGACAGACTCCCTCAGGGGCGAGGGTGGCAAGCCCTTAATGTCCTAAAACTGCCCCTTTCCCAATACTTACAGCTGATGGCCTGTGGTCCAAAAGCTAGCCAGAGAAAGAAGGTTCTCTCAGAAAGACTCTGAATCCAGAGACAGTTGTTATAAGAAGATCCAAGGTGATGCCTTCTCCCACAGGGCAAGAAAAATGGAGGAAATGGTAGGGCATGCTGGGCCCCTCATCCAACCTTCCTGACATAGCAAGACCTAGAAAGCACTCCCACAAACAAACAAACCAAACCTAAAAAACAAAGCAGCTAAGTTTCCCAGGCCACAGTGCCTATCATGAAGCTATTCAATTCCTTGTAAAGTCTGTTTACAAGCCTAACACACAGGTGATGGGTAGATAGCCTCCTGGTTTATAAATGGCTATGGTGAGCCGACTCCTACACCTCTCAAATCAACAACAAAGGGGACTTCCTCATTTTTCACAAGGAGAGGTGCCTTTCCTCAACCATTTATTTATTGCTTCCTTTGAGAGAAAGGGGAGCCCAAACCAAAGCCCCTACCAAGACGGGGGTTTTTTTGTTTGTTTGTTTGTTTTTACTGGAGATGCAATCTGTAGTAGCTTGCTTGCTTGCTTTAGAGGTTTGGGCTCAATCTCTAGCACCGTTAAAAAAGAGCTGGGTGTGGTGGTCTGTAGTCCCACCAGCACTCAGGAGGCAGAGGCAGGCGGATCTCTGTGAGATCAAGGTCAGCCTGGGATACAGAGTGAGTTCCAGGCCAGCTGGGGCTGCAGGGAGACCCTGTCTCAAAGCAAAACAAAAGAGGAAGGGAGGGAGAAAAAGTAAAGGGAGCTGAATCCTGGCAATGGGTGGAGGGGGCCAGGAAGATATAGATGCTAGAAAAAAAGGAATACAGGTAAGGGAATGGTGAGCATGGAGGGGGTGT